AGGCAGGCCGGGTCCCGGCCTCGCCTTCTGCCCGTGCCGCTGCCTGCCCGCCGGGGAGCTGCTGCTCCTCCGCTCCAAGGCACTGCAGGGAAAACTTAAGCAAATAACTTAATTTAATACAGAACAATATACTAAGTGTTCTAAGGTAGAAGGCAATATGTTAGTTCCGACCAGAGGTCATATAATGCTAGATCCTTAGTTCACAAAAACTTTGCACCAGTTTGACTGGAGACACAGCAAATGGCAGGGTGAAAACACATGGGTAAGAAGAGGAAAAGCCAGTTCCCACTTCTGAGGCCGTCTGTTTTTCTAGCTACCTTCTGAAGTTCAGCTTCTCCTCCAAGCCTGCAGAAGTAGGAGTGATAATGCTGTGGTCAATCCAAACTGTGACTATCCAATACAATGTCGAAAAATAGTAATCCACTTTCACAATGAATGATGAGTTACTCTCAACATAATTACAACATCAACATGTATTTTCATAGAATCATAGAATTGTTTTAGTTGGAAAAGACCTTTAAGATCATCAAGTCCAACTGTTAACCCAGCACTCCCTGGTCACCACTAAACCATATCCCTCAGCAATACATCTATGTATTTTATATACATCCAGGGGTGATGATTGTACCACCTCCCTGGGCAGCCTGTCCCAGTGCTTGACAAGCCTTTTGGTGAAGAAGTTTTTCCTAATATCCAACCTAAACCTCCCCTGGCGCAACTTGAGGCCATTTCCTCTTGTCCTATCCCTCGTTACTTGGGAGAAGAGACCAACCCCCACCTTACTACAGACCCCTTTCAGGTAGTTGTAGAAAGCGATAATGTCTCCCCTGAGCCTCCTTTTTTCCAGGATAAACAACCCCAGTTCCCTCAGCTGCACCTCATAAGACTTATTCTCTAGGCCCTGCATCAGCTTTATTGCCCTTGTTTGGGCATGCTCCAGCATCTCATGTCCTTCTTGTAGTGAGCGGCTGAAAACTGAACACAGTACTCAAGGTGCAGCACTCACTCGGTGCTGAGTACAGGGAGACAATCACTTCCCTAGTCCTCCTGGCTACACTGTTCCTGATACAATCCAGGATGCTGTTGGCCTTCTTGGCCACCTGGCCATCCTGCTGGTTCATGTTCAGCCAGCTCTCAGCCAACACCCCCAGAGCCTTTTCCGCCAGGCAACCTTTCAGCCGTTCTTCCCCAAGCATGTAGCGTTGCCTGGGGTTGTGTGACCCAAGTGCAAGACCCATCACTTAGACATATTGACCCTAATACCACTGGGCATTTTAACATGGTGTGAAAACAAACTCAGAGAGAGGTGCTAGGAAGATTCTGAGGCTAACTTGTTCTTGTGAGAGGAATTTCTTTAATTCTTCATCTAAACCACTTGAGTTTTCAAATTTATTTTAATTTTAATTTAAACCATTACCCTTTATCCGGTTGCAACAGGTCCTGCTAAAAAGTCTGTCCCCATCTTTCTTACAAGTCCCCTTTAAATCCTGAAAGGCCACAATAAATTCTCCCTGGAGCCTTCTTTTCTCCAGGCTGAACAACCCCAGCTCTCTCAGCCTTTCTTCATAGGAGAGTTGTTCCAGCCCTGTGGTCATTTTTGGGGTCCTTCTCTGGACCCACTCCAGCAGGTTCATGTCTTTCTTGTGCTGAGGACTCCAGAGCTGGACACAGTACTCAAGGTGATGTCTCAATACCATTTTGTAGACTACCTGCACAGCACTTACCTTGACTCTGCAGATTGCCAGAAACCCTCAGGCTACAATAAGGGAAGTACAAAGGTAGAGAACATCATCTTGAAGCACAAACCAAATCTTTTGTTTGGCCTCCTTAGATAAGCTGCAGCTTTAATGGCTGCACAAGTTACTTGCAATATATTCTGAAAAAAAAGTGACAACCTACACTGCAAACATTCTCATTAAACCAGCTGAATGCCTTTATTTTTATGAGGGAAAATATATGTACGTAACAATATTGTTAGGGAAAATAAATGTATGTAACAATGTTGTTAGAGGCAATATCTGTTGCATGCATACACTGTGACTTTTTTTACACACAGTTATAAACACCATAACACTAGGAAACAAATAATTTTAGTATGCTTTTAATATAATCCACAAAGTAAAGAAACATTTGAATCCATAATGGAATAAAGTTTAAGGACATTTACATTCTAGTGATTTTTAATTGTACATTAATAATGAATAATTTTTGTAAGGAAAAGAGTATGTCCATGTACTTCAGCATTCCT